AATGTGACTGAGTAAACATATTTATGTAACAAATCTGGGTAAGTTTCGCAAGTGTAACAAACTATTACATATTTTCGTATTCAAATCTATTTACTCTCACAGGATTGGAAATTTTTTTTATGTTTCTAACAGAGATTTAGTCATATTAGAAGACTGATTGACTGTGTAACTCATGTATAAAAAAAAATTCTTGATAAAACAAAAAAAAGGCAAGAAACAGAGGAGAATACCTCTGATCCGTAACAATGGACGACAGAATATCCGAACTGCCAATTCCTCTACGACACCACATTCTCTGTTTCCTCTCCCAAAAAGAAGCTGTGAGAACTTGTCTACTCTCCAGACAATGGCGCCACGTAGGATCAACCCGCCCAAACCTCGACTTCTCCGCAGAATGGTTCGACGACTCACAAGAAAAGTTTGTCTCCATCATCGACCGTGCCCTACAAGGATACCGTGATCAAAGCCTCTCCATACACAAACTCCGTCTCGACTTATCCAGCCCTGAATCACGACCGGTCGTCTCCCTTCTCGACAAATGGATCCCGATAATAGCCAACCTCAACATAAAAGCGTTCAAACTCAACTTTCTTTCATATACTCGACCGTATTACTACCTGCCCTCAGCAATCCTGGCAGCCGAATCCCTCGAAGAACTACACCTGCGCAAATGCAGGCTGAGCCCGGTTGAGAGCTTGCGGTTCAAATGTTTGCGCACACTCACCCTCGAATATGTCCAAGTTGATGGTAGGACATTCGAGAAGATAACTTCGGGTTGCCCTTTGCTCAGGCGCTTGTTCCTTACTAGATGTCAGGGGTTGAGAAACATTAGGCTGAGCGAGGCGGCATTGCCTGAGCTCAACCACTTTGAGTTGTATGATTACAAGGAGATCGAAGGGCCTAGCATAGAAATCGATGTCCGGAATATCGAGACAGTCTCCATCGCGGGGGGGCAATGGATTTGGTCTCACCGCCAAAGCGAATTCTTGTTCTCTCGTCTCACGAGTTTGACTCTCTATGGTGTGATCCTATCGAGCGAGTCGTTCGACCTGTTATCGTTCGGCTGCCCGACACTTGCGAGCTTGGCCCTATATAATTGCTCCGGTTTCGAGGAATTCCATCTTTCAAATGATTCGGTCAAGTCGTTGAACATCTCGACCAGCCAAACATTGCTCAAAGGAGCTACGATTTATGCCCCTAACATTAGCAGTTTCTTGTTCTTTATTCGCCAAGTGCCTGACACATTCTCTTTCACGACCGCAACGTCCAAGGAGTGGTCATCACACGTATCCCTCTCTTCTTGTGAGGAAGATCCCGATTTCGACGTCAATTGGTGGTTCCTTGAGCTGAGACGATTGCTCAAGGCACTAAGTAGGTCTCGGATTTCTCTGTCTCTGCGGATGGACGGCGGCCCTCAGGACGTGCCCTGTAATGCTGTTGTCAGTGACGAGACGCCTGTGGTGGTGCAGAGCTTGAATTTTGATACTCGTAAGTGTCGCACAACGTCTTGGTACTTGGAGTTTACTAGTGGCTTGTTTCTTGTTTGTCGACCGAGGCATGTAGGGCATGGTACCCTTGTTAGCGGGTCGTACAGGAACTACAGGCTCTCGGAGTTTCAGTTAAACATCTTGCTTGCTAACAAGAGCCTCGTGACTAGGAAACTTAGGCCCCACTTTTGGCAGCACGATTTGGAGCAAGTGCACGTCGATGGGCAGCTCGTGCAGTACAAAGACTTGTCGGAATTGCGAAACAGGACATATTATGGGATAGTGTGCCTTCAATTGAAATGGAGAGGTCAGACTTCTCGGAATTGCGAAACAAGACATATGCCGGGACATATTACTGCGCTCGCTTGCTTTTCTGTTTTTTGTATATGGCTCTTGTTTTTATCTGTCATTTATCAGGAGCTGGTGAATTAGGCTGCAAAATAGTATGTACAATGTATGAATAAGAACAAACTGAAATGAGGTTTTTTTGCCTGGTTTTGAAAATCATTTTTGGACAATTAAAATATACAACTGCGTTTAAATTTTTCAATTGTTATGTGATTCTGTCACGGTTTTTACCAAAAAAAAGTAGTCTTAAAGTCGTACTTTTGCGTGGCAAATTAATCTGAGGATTGTGAGGGTTGTGAATGGGCTGGTTCCTTGAATAGCAACTAATGACTCCTCGGCTGGTACGGGCGACCACGATTTCAGTCTGGTCTTTAGGTCAGCTATCTTAGGATTTGATGACGAGAAGTCACTGCTCATGTCCCAAATGAGCATCGAGAAAAGATTTGGGCAATCAGCAGTTTTTGTTGCTTCTACTTTGATGGAGAATGGTGGTGTCCCAAAATCCGAAAGAGTCCCTTCATGTTTACAGATAGGCTGGATTTACGGTCCTGTGACAGAAGATATTCTGACGGGTTTCAAGATGCACGCCCCAAGGCCGGCCTTCAAGGGATCGGCTTCGGTCAGTCTCTCTGCTCGTTTGAATCAAGTGCTCCGGTGAGCCTTTGCGGAGCTCTACTTGTTCAAGTGGACCACTCTTTTCAACTCTCCTCGTTGTCAACATAGTGGGGGCCGTGGCCGGATGTATCCTATGCCATAAACAGCGGGTACAAGTACTCTTTGGCAAGCTCTTCTTTGCCTTTTGGGTCATTGTCCACCTTTACCCCTTCCTCAAAGGCCTCATGGGCCAACAGAACCGAACCCGAACCATCGTTGTTGTTTGGTCCATCCTCCATTGGGTCCGGTCGACCCATTCACCACCCGAGTCACAGGCCCTGATGTGGAGCAATGCGGAATCAATTGCTGATGGGCAGAGTTCAACTTTCTTTCTGTGTAGAGATTTGAAATTCTCTAAATCTATATTGCCGTGAGTCAGAGTGATGAGATTTATATACTGTGTTGGTGACAAGAAATGGATGTTGATACCTATAAATTATTAAAGACTCATTTGAGCGACATTTAATTTATTATTATTTTGTTTGTTCATGTTGTTTATACCTATACATTGTTCCTGCTTTTAGATGATCTGAGATCACTATGGCAATGTAATTCTCCAACTGATAATATTTTCATAAAGTTTTTAATATATCAAAAGTATTCCTAAGATTAACCAAATTCTCAAAATTTAGTACCACACCACAAGAAAACGAAGAGAAATATATTTTTTCATCACAAGGCTGTTAAACGAAACGAGTTGTTCGTCGGCTTAACTCAGTTCCTTAAAGCTTGAGTTCAGCTTGTTAAAACTCGAAAATAAGAATTTGTATATAATTTTCTATTGCTCAAATCACTAAAGCTCGGGTTTGGCTTGTCATATTGATAAATGAACCGATCTTGAGCTTGTTTACTAATATGATCGATCTTGAACTTAATAATGCCCTAGAAGAATGCGCTAAATGTGCTCTTCCGTTGCTTTTAGTTTCTAAATTTTTAAGTTAATAAAGAAAAATATTATGTTCAGCCATAATAAAAACAGTGAAATTTAAAATAGAATTTAACTAATTTTATTTATTATATAAATAAAAAAGCGAGAAATATCTCAAAAATCACAAATGAAAAGATCAAGGAGTTTACTGAATGTTGTAAATTGGAACTCTTAATCTTCAACAAGCATCATCAATCCAAGCATAAAAGAAGTGCAGTAAAAGAACGATAAAAGAGAAGCAGAAAAGTCTCTATATTATTCATC